CCAAGATAACAAAATGGGGAAGGAAATAAGCATTTAGTGAATGCCTACTATGTACCAGGTACTGTGCTAATAATTTTACAAATATTTATCTCATTTAATCCTCACAACAACCCTGAAGGGTAAGTGATATTATGATCCTCATTTTATAGTTGAGGAAACTTAGAGGCAGATAGAGGTTAAGTGACTTGCTCAGGGTTACACAGGTAGGAAGTGTCTGTGACCATATTTGAACTTGTCTTCCTGACTCCAGGCAAGGCGCTGTGTCCCTAGCTGCCTCAGTATTGGAATATTCAGCATTGAAGAGGTTATGGAAAGACAGACACACTATTATATTGTTCTTGGTGTTGTTGAATTGGTCCAAACATTCTAGAAAACAATTTTGAATTATACTAAGAAAGTAAATGAAATGTCCATGCTTTCTGATCTAGCGATCTCACTGTTACCTATAATACCCTGAGTATGTCAAAAATTGAAAAAACCCCATATATGCCAAAATATTTATAACAGCTCTTTTCACAGTAGCAAAGAACTGGAGGGGGGTTGGAATGGTGCATGTCTATCAAATGGGAAATGGTTAAATAAATTGCTGCCCTCATGCATCTTACCATCTAGTAGAGTGGTGAAATACATATACAAATAGGTATAAGAAAAAATAATACAAGTTCAATATAGAGTTAGGGTATTATGTGTGTCTTGAGAAGGGAAAGATTTACCAATTAGGCAAGGATTCTGAGAAGGCATCGTGGAGTAGGCAGCATTTGAGATGACCTTTAAAGGACTAGAAGGATTTGGGTAGACATGAAGGAGAATGGGATGGGGAAAACATTAAAAAGAATATTTGACATGTTTGAGGAACTGAAAGAAGTCCAATTTGACTAGAATGTGGGACATCAGGATAGTAGTAGTATGAGATCAGTCTGGAAAGGTAGAGGAGCATCAGATTGTAAGGACTTTGAATGCCACACTAAGGAATTTTAATATTATCTGACAGATAATTCTCACCCTGCTGCTATTTATTTTCTCTGTGACCTTGGGCGAGACATTGAACCTCTCTAGGCTTCTCATCTGTAAAATAAGGGGCTTGGATTAAATTTAGGGTCCTTTTCATCTCTTAAATCTTATGATCTTAGAGTAGAGAGCCATTGAAAAGTTTTGAGCAGGAGTGATGTGACCAGATTTGTGCACAATAATAGCTGATACTGTATATAGAGCTTTATGCTTTATAGAGGCCTTTACATACACTGCTTCATGCAGCATTTTATTATTCTATTTTATAGAGAAGATTAATCTGACAGTCATGTGAAGAAGCAATTAGAGGGCAGAGATAGGAAGATTAGAAGGTTGGTTTATGTTGTTATTACATAGTCTTCATTTCATAGGTGCACAAAAATGTTTTATAAAAACCGTAGAGAAATCCAAGAAAGTATGTGTGGGTCAAAAAAGCATTATCATATATCCTTGGTTGCTGTTTTCATAAATTTGAACTGTATTTTTCTTTATCCTTGTTTAGTATAATTTCCATAGTTGGCAAGTCTTGAATATGGGGAGTCTTAAATCCCTGTTTACATTCAGTTTTTAATTCTATTTTCTGAAATGCGTGAGATTATTGCATACAATCAACTAAGTGAAGTAAGTAACTTGAATTTTCCAAGAGGACTACTTCTATCAATATAGTCTTTAAATTTAGCTTTTCCACTGAGCAAAAGTAATTATTGAGGACCAGTAATAATAACCCAAACATGTATAGCAGTTTAACTACTATCTTCCACCACTTGGTGACTCATAATGTGGAGTAATCCAGGGATCTAAAAGGACTATCCTAGCAGAACGAACTCTGACAGGTCCTTTCTATTAAGTTTTAGAATAGCTACAGTCTCTGTTGATAGAGGGAATGTCCAAACTGACAAATTTACAGACCTTTTCATTATTGAAGTGAAGTAAGTTCAATTTCTATCAGATGTTTATAGCATTAACTCTACTTTCTCAATTGACTGAGTTCTTTGAAAATCACCATGTAATTGCTTTGTAATGATATTTTAAATCATCTTTATTTTTAAGTCTTTAATAAAGATTGTCAGTCACTTAATGTAAAGAAGTTACAGTTTCTTTTCAGTAGTGAATAATGTAGCAACTTTTGGGAACACTGGAAACTTGGGCTATGTAGGTTTAGAAATCTTACTGTCACGCAGGTAGCAAATGATATAGCTTTGATTTGGACCCAGATTGGGGATGTACTGCAAAGATTTTACCTGGCACTCTAGGGCGAAAAATAAATGCATAACTGCTTTACAGTTTAATCTTCATTATTAACATTTCCTCATTTGCTTTCTTAAGTATGGACAATCAAATAATGATAAAATACAACAAACTTTGAGGTGTAGATGTAGTTCTTAGAGGAATGATCACTTATGTTCACAAAAGAGAAAAAAAGGATTAGTGAATTGACCATCCAATTAAAACAAACAAATAAAAAAAACAGACAACTAGAAAACCAATAATTAGTCCCAGAACAAACAACAAAGAGATTTTGAAAATTAGGTAAATAAAGAGAAACTGGATAAAGAAACAAAATTGAAAGTAAAAAACAACATTTTGTAAGTGCAATTAGAAAGCAAGACTGTGAATTTATGCATTTCCAGGCATTCATAGAGGATGAAAGGGATTAAAAAATCATGATTCCTGGTAGATAAGGCCTAATTTGTAAGACATGAGATGCCAAATCAATTTGGCCCAAGAATAGGCCTGGCCTTCTCATTGTATTGGGGCAGTTAAGTGGCACAATGGATATACATATATGTGTGTATGTGTGTGGGCGTGCATGCAGCTAGTTAGTGCATTGTAAAGAGTGCCTGGCGTCAGAAAGACTCATCTTTGTGAGTTCAAATTGACCTCAGACATTCACTAGCTGTATGACCCTAGGCAAGTCACTTAACTTTGTTTGCTTCAGTTTCCTCATCTATAAAATGAGCTGGAGGAGGAAATGGCAAATCACTTCAGTGTCTTTGCCAAGAAAACCCCCAGTGGGGTCATGAAGAGTTGAAAAATGACTCAGAGAATTTCATTGTATCATTTGCCCTTTTAGTTTTGATTAATCTGGTTCATAATAGCTAGCATTTATAGAACGCTTTTAAGATTTGCAAAGTACTTTGTATAAAGTATACACACAAGTGCATATGTGTATGTATATATCTGTATATATGTCAAATAAGAGTTGAGTGGTTCATCCTTCTTACTAACATCCATTATCATTATATCAACATTCTGAGCAGCAGGGACCCCATAGTTCTTTTGTTTGTTTGTTTTTAAGGGCAACAAATGTATGTTTACATAGTCAGCATATTTCCTCCAAATAGTCTAAGTTAATGAGCTCTTATAGTAGCAATGATTTCTTAATAATGTATACTGACTATATATGTGGCAAAGGTCTTAATGCAAGGAAAATCTTAGGGAAAAACAATTCAGATTTATTCCCAAGATAAACATTCAAAGTAAGATACTCCTATAAGTCCTGTCACCTTAAGGCATATAAATACTTGTATTCAAATGAAATATTTCACATCTATGTAGCATTTTTTAGTTGATAAAAACACTTCTTTACAACTCTGTGAGGTAGGTAGTGTAAATATTTCCATTTTACTAATGAAGAAACTGAGGATCAGAGGGTTTTTGATTTGGCCACCAGGACACAGCTAGTGAGTATTGGAGTCAAGTCTCAAAGCCACGTCTTAGAACTGGACCTCCAGTGCTTTTTCCATTACATCACAATGCATTTGTTAAACACAACGTTTTTATTTCTTCTAACCCAGGAAAATAAAATTTTTTGACCAAACAAGGGATAGAGAGCATTAAAGAAAAAATAAACAATTTCATCCACATACAATTTTGAAAAACTTTTGCACAGACAAGATCACTGCAGCTAAGATAAGAAACTGTCAGATGGAGAAAAAAAATCTTTGAATCAGATATCTCTTCTTAATGTGACTAATATCTAAAATACACAGTGGGAATTACCACCTTGTTATGTGGCTAAAAGGATATGAACAGTTTTCAGAAGAATTGTAAACCATCATCAGTATGAAACATTTCTCCAATCACAGCAAAAGAAATGGAAATAACTGAAGTTTCATCTTATATCCAGCAAACTGACAAAAATGACCGGAAAAAAAATAGTTAATTTTGGAGGGAATGTGCATATCACAAGGAATGTGTATACCAGCCCTCCCAGTGGGCCTGTGCAGCCTTCTGAAAAAAGACTTTGGAATTACACAAGAAGAGTCACTAAACTTCATACACTTTGACATCCCACTAATAGGCAGGTACGACACAGAGGTTAGAGACAAAAGAAAGGCTCCATATATGATATCAAAATATTCATAGCTATTTTTTGTGGTATCAAAAAACTAGGAATGGTAGATTCCCATGGATTGGAGATTGGCTAAACTCATTTGGCATATGAAATGGAATAATGGAATATTATTGTAAAAAATTACAAATATACGATATTCAGAGAACCATGTGGAGATTTGCATGAACTTACGCAGTTAAGTAACCAGTAGAACAATATACATAATGATTGCAGTAATGTAGATGAACACTAAAAGCCAAACTGAGTAACTGTAATGATCAATTGTGGCCTCAGAAAAGAGATGAAGAAACACCTTCCTCTCAGCGTGAAAACGGGGGCAGAAGAGAAGCAGGACACAACTGTAGATGCAGAATATTGCATGTCCTGTCAGATATGAATACTTTGATTTGCTTAACCATTTTTCTTTGTTACAATGGCCTGAAGATAGGTAGGGTATATTCAGAAGTGACTCATGTAAAAAAATATGCATTAATAAAACTTATTCAGAAGAAAAAGAAATTGGTTTGAAAAATGATAAATGATACATATTTTATTCAACAGTTAAATTGATTTTTAATAAGTTACCATTAGTAAAATATTGCCAGATGTCACTATTTTTGAAAAAATGTACTTTTTTTGTTTCTTTTCTCTTCAGTGGGCATTTGGAGTAACACTATGGGAACTAATGACTCTGGGCCAGACCCCTTATGTGGATATTGACCCCTTTGAGATGGCTGCTTATCTAAAAGATGGCTACCGAATAGCTCAACCAATCAACTGCCCTGATGAATTGTAAGTTTCAGCATATTGGAAGAAATAAAAGTTCAATCTTATTTCATTGACTAATAAATATTTGTTATGAAATAGAAAATCTTGATCAGAATTTTCCTATTTAGTGGGAAAACTTCTGCCATGTAAATTATTTTTTCATAGTGAATTGGAGATTTTAAGAAACCATGGTGCCTTTCAGATGACTGGATTAAAGGCTAGAACAAATCCATTTATTTCTTAATGTACCTGATTTTAGCCCGAGAGAATAATTTATACAAAGTATCTGACTAAATAGATGTGTATTATTCCGTTTATAGTAATAGCTATACATTATTTGAAGGACATTCCTAAAGATTTCAATCAAAAGTAATTACATATTAAGTATAGATAGACATATACATATAAAATTTATTTCATACTTAATGGATTTTAAAAAATACTTGTATATCTGAACTCACTGTGTCCCAGTCATGTGGATATAATATGGTTTACAAGCTCCTTGAGAATAAGGATTGTTTCACTCTTCATTTGTATTGCTAGCATAATGCCTGGCTCATTGTTGGAATTTAGTAAATACTTGATTAATTGAATGATCTGAAGGTTTTAAGCACATGAGTTAATAGAGTTGTTCAATCGTTAGCATTTTAATTTTGTGAAGAAAATTAACCATAAATTTGGGGAACATAATGCCTATGGCATTGTTGTCTCACAAAGGACCCAGCTTAAATATGAATTTGTGATCTCAGCTCACCCTTTTAAAAAATGTCTTCACATTTAAGTGGGGCAGCCTAGGTAGTGCAGTGGATAGAGTGCCAGACCTGGAGTCAAGAAGACCTGAGTTCAAATTTGGCCTTAGATACTAGTTACGTGGCCCTGGGCAAGTCACTGTACCCTGTTTTCCTCAATTTCCTCATCTGTAACATGATCTGGAGAAGGAAATGGCAAACCACTCCAGTATTTCCAGTAGTTCCTTTTAGCCCACTTTCTGTAATCTTGGGTTTAAATCTTGGCTCTTACATGTTGTGATCCAAGATTCAGTTTCTTAATTTTTATTGATGGGTTAGCCTAGATGACATCCTGTAATTCTATTCTGCTAACTTGCCTCAGTGGACTAATGCAAATCAGAATAAGCAGAACCAAGCGAAAATATCTAGCATGATGTAAATTGAAAGATTACTACAAGGAATTTAAATTCTTATTAATTGGATAACTAATAAAGAACCCAAAGAATAGATAATAAAATATCTTCCCTCAAAGTTGAGAAACCACTTTGAAAGAATGTCATTGTGAATGTGTTGTCTGATGCATTCACTATGTTGAATATTTTTGCTTGATTTGTTTTTCTATGTCACAAGAGGGGGGAGAGTTCAACCTAGAAGTAATATAAAGACAGAAGGCATCACTAAAATGTATCTTTTTTAAAATAATCATGAGTGTTTTTTTAAAAAATCAGTTCAGTACATATAGCCATTGATATGCCAAACACTTCATTTTATCTGTTGTTTGAATTTCCTGCCCTACTAGTTCTTTTAAATTAGTAAAATTGACTCCTTTAAAAATTTTCTTCCTCTCACTGTCCATACTCATCTTTTTTTTTTTTAATGCTCCTAAGGTGTCCTCTTTTTTTTTCAATAATTAATTATTTTTAGTTTTCAACATTCAGTTCCATAAGATTTTGAGTTTTAAATTTTCTCCCCTTCTCTCTCCTCTCCCCCTCCCCAAGACGGCATGCAATCTGATATAGGCTCTACTTACACATTCATATTAAGTATATTTTCCCTTTAGTCATGATGTAAAGAAGAATTAGAACTGATGGGAGGAACCACAAGAATGAAGCAATAAAAACAACAAAAGAAAAGGAGGGCAAATAGTATGCTTCCATCAGACTCCATAGTTCATTCTCTGGATGTGGATAGTATTTTTCATCCTGAGTCTTTTGGAGTTGTCTTAGATCCTTGCCCTGCTGAGAATAGCTAAGTCTATCAAAGTCAGTCATTGCACATTGTGGTTGTTACTGAGTACAACGTTCTCCTGGTTCTGCTTATTTCACTCAGCATCAGTTCATATAAGTCTTTCCAGGTTTTTCTGAGGTCTGCCTGCTCATCAATTCTTATAGCACAATAATATTCCATTACATACCATTACATACCACAACTTGTTCAGCCATTCCCCAATTGATGGGCATCCTCTCAATTTCCAATTTTTTGCCACCATAGAAAGAGCTGCTATAAATATTTTTGTACATGTGGGTTGTTTTCCCATTTTTATGATCTCTTTGGGATGTAGACATAGAAGTGGTATTGATGAGTCAAAGGGTATGCACATTTTTATAGCCCTTTGGGCATAGTTCCAGATTGCTCTCCAAAATGGTTGGATCATTTCACAACTCTACCAACAGTGCATCAGTGTTCCAATTTTCCCACATATTCTCCAACATTTATCATTTTCTTGTTTCGTCATGTTGGCCAATCTGATAGGTGTGATGTGGTACCTCAGAGTTGTTTTGATTTGCATTTCTCTAATCAATAGTGATTTAGAGCATTTTTTTCATATGACTATAGGTGGCTTTAATTTCTTCATCTGAAAACTGCCTGTTTATATCTTTGACCATTTATCAATTGCGAAATGACTTGTATTCTTATAAGTTTGACTCAGTTCTCTATATATTTTAGAAACAAAGCCTTTGTCAGAGACATTGGTTGTAAAAATTCTTTCCCAGTTTTCTGCTTCTCTCCTAATCTTGGTTCCATTGGCTTTGTTTGTGCAAAAACTTTTCAATTTAATGTAATCAAAATTATCTATTTTGTATTTCGTAATGTTCTCTATCTCTTGTTTGGTCATGAATTCTTCTGTTCTCCATAGATCTGATAGGTAAACTATTCCTTACTCTCCTAGTTTGCTTATTGTATCAGTCTTTATATCTAAATCATGTACCCATTTGGACTTTATCTTGGTATAGGGTGTAAGATATTGGTCAATGCCCACTTTCTGCCATACTCTTTCCAGTTTTCCCAGCAGTTTTTGTTAAGTAGTGATTTCTTCTCCCAGAAGCTGGAGTCTTTGGGTTTATCTAACAGTAGATTACTATAGTCATTGACAACTGTCTTGTATGCACACCTAACCTATTCCACTGATCCACCACTCTATTTCTTAGCCAGTACCAAGTAGTTTTGATGATTGCTGCTTTATAATACAGTTTAAGATCTGGAATGGCTAGGCCACCTTCCCTTGCATTTCTTTTCATTAGTTCCCTTCATATTCTGGACTTTTGTTCTTCCTGATGAATTTTGTTATTGTTTTTTCTAGCTCTACTTAATATGAATGTGTAAGTAGAGCCTATATCCAATTGCATGCCGTCTTGGGGAGGGGGAGGAGAGAGAAGGGGAGAAAATTTAAAACTCAGAATCTTACGGAAGTGAATGTTGAAAATTAAAAATAATTAATTATTAAAAAAAAAAGAGGATACCTTAGGAGCATTAAAAAAAAAGATGAGTATGGACAGTGAGAGGAAGAAAATTTTTAAAGGAGTCAATTTTACTAATGTAAAAGAACTAGTAGGTCAGGAAATTCAAACAGCAGATAAAATGAAGTGTTTGGCATATTCTAGTTTCTAGTAGCTCTAATAGTGAAATGATCAAAAAGAGCAAAAAAAAGTTTTTTCAGAGAAATCAATTAACTTAGAGATAATGAACAGCTAAATTGTCACCTAACCTCTAGTATATTTTTAAAAATTAATCGATTGTTGCCTTTTTATTAAGAACAAGATTCATTCCCATTTTACTTTGTCTTTTTCCAGTAATAATTTTTTTGCAATTAATTTTTGCCAATAATTTTTTCTTTTCCTCTTTGTCCCTCTTATAGATTTGCTGTGATGGCCTGTTGCTGGGCTCTAGACCCTGAGGAAAGACCCAAATTCCAGCAGCTTGTGCAGTGCCTCACTGAATTTCATGCAGCTCTTGGAGCCTATGTTTGAATCCTCTGGCATAAATTCCACAGTGGAGCACCAGTGATTCACTTTGGACTCAGTTATTAACACTACATGTATAAGCAACGCCAATGGAAGAAGATACTTCTTCTAAAACACTGTGCCTTAGAATGCTTTAGTAGCCTGAAGGTTTTTTAAACAGACATCTTGATAATGTTGAGTATTTTCTAGATATCACTTTTTTCTAAGTTGAACTGAGAGAATTTTTCCAAAAATTTTTTATAAAAATAGAACTGCAATGGACTTGAGGTGTAGGATGGATGGATGAGCATTCTTTAAAAAAGAAAAAAAAAACACCTAAAACCCATGTTTTTAAAAAAGTTTAAACTCAAATGTTTGGAATAGCTATTTTCATATTGTTTTTATTTTGACTTCATCAGAATAATAGTAAATGATTCAATGTAATTTTTAAATTGTATTTCCATCAATAACTTTGACAACACTTCTTCAAGATGAAATATTTCTGTTCAGAAAAAAAGGAGTAATTTAAAAGTAATGCATTCTTGTTTACCTTGCTTATACTTGGTAAAGTAAAATTGAAGATAGGTAAACAGAAAAGCTTGAACTGAATTTCTTTAAAATATTTTAATGCCTTCAGATAGGCACAAGAGAAGCCCTTGCGTGGAAAATTTTCATCCTGAATTTCTGTGTGGCTAATCTTTCTATTGAAAGATGTCTTTCTTTTTTTTTAATTTCAATTTTTTTTTTCAGAGCAGGAGCTAAGGTAATTATTGCTTGAAATGGGCTTAAATCAGCTTTGTAGATGGCCATGTGCCTGGGACCAGTAATTATTTCTGTCAGGCCAGTAGTAAACAATGTTGATTTTATTTATTTTGCTATCTGAATACTGCAGATAGTAAGGTCCGTAAAAGCTAATCACATTTCCACATCTGGTAAACTCTCCTATGGCACCTGGTATAGTGCTGTGCACAGAGTTGGTGCTCAAATAATTGTGGGCAACATTGTAGGCTGGTAAATTTCATGTTCATCTTCAAGGCTGGGTTAAGTATATAATTTTGTTTCTTGAAACACTTGAAAAATTAAAGAATTTGTTTTATAGTGTAATATTATCGAAACTCTCATCATGGTGAACGTGGTCTATATTTCCCCATCTTTTATTACTATGCTTGACCCCAGTTTTAGAGGTATTTGGACATTAAAAAGTTAGAAAAATACTTCACTGTGGTTACTCCTTCCACCAATGCAGATTTCAACCCTTCCATAAATTAGTAGATGATTTCAAAAGTTGCTGTGACCAAAGTTTAGAAATACATTTGTTTTATTCTATATGAATGTTAAATCTAGAACCCAAAGCCTCAATAAATCCTGAAGAAATCTGTCTTTCAACACTACTAAATCACTTCTAATCAAAAAATTATTCATACCCTTTACCAGTTTACTTATTGTTATGAGCTGATACACATCTAGACATTTCCTAGCTAAATAATTAAGGGATGTGTACACATATGTGGTCATTTGATTGGCCTAAGCACATAATGAATGTGACTGGCTGTGCATTCATTAATTTCATTGTCATTTTTGTCTTTTAAAAAACAAGTACGTCATACACAAACTGGTGTTTTCATTACCCCACCCCGCTTCAGTTATCAGTTTCTAAACATTTCCTTATATGTAGTTGAAGGCAGCTGTCATATTGATCTATGTATACTAAATAGGGAGAGGTAGAGACAGCCAGATGATTTGTATGCCATGGCTTGACGATTCTTAAAGGGACATGTCCTTTAAAAAAGTGTCTATGGTTATAGACCACATCCCTAACCTGGTCCAATCATATGGCAAATGCTTGCTCAGTATGACAAAGGGAGTCAGGTGTAAGAATGTGGAAAGATTGTCACCAGACCCAGGACCACATCTGGATCAGCAGCTTAATAACATATCTTATTGTTAATGATTCCATTAAGATCATCTTTATATACAAAGCACATTTATGAGTAAAGCATGCAAGCCCCTGAATGGTTAATTTTGTTCATCTCTGTTCTTAAACAATTGATAAATTATGCTCTTATTCTAATTAAAATTTTCGTACTTGGCCACACCATGTTTTCTTTGTAGGCATGGTCTGGTCTAAGTCTAGTATCCCATTCAGGATATGATTAAATCATGAATAAGAAACAATGCATTCAGCAGCCCTGTGAAGGCAAAGTAGTCCAGAAGTGTTCTGCAAGCTACTAGATCAGATTGGGTCTTATCCTTAATTTTTGATTTTAAGGAATTTTATTTTAAATCACAAGTTAAATGCTATTATAATACAATACATGAGACATCTGTTTTCCATTATGTGGCTAGAAATCATATTTTCAGTTTATAGGAGCTTCAGAGAAAACAGTTGACACATAGTTATTCAACAACTAAATTTAACAAATATTAAATGTTTTCTATGCAAAGCATTACGTCCACTCTGGGAGATAACTATATAAAAAATATGCCACGTTCCCTTGAAGTAGGGATAGGATACTAAGATAAAATATAGCAAAGTTCTAGCCTTCATTACAGTGTAATTGGGAGAATGAGATTTGTTTAAGGCAGACTGTGAAAAATGCAAGGGAAAGGTCCAAAAAGCATTATAGGAAGTTTGAGGGACAAAGCACCTCCTCCCAGAGACATCAGGAAAGGTTTTGTGTAGAAGGCAGCAGCTGAGTTGGCTGTTGAAGCCAGGGAGGGATTTCATCTATGAGAGGTTGGGAGGTGGGGATAACAATTCTATTGTGAGTCAACTAATGAAATGTTCTGAACCAGTGGGGACATGACCTGTGCATATATAACTTTACTCAACTTTTTGTCTTCAATTCTGGTGTCTCTGTGTTTTGTTTTAATAGCTAGCATTCATAGACTTAACTCATTTGAAATTTACCACAGCCTTGAGGTGGGTGTTATTATTATCCCTGTTTCACAGATAGAAAAGTTGAGGTACAGAGAAGTTGAATGACTTACCCAGGGTCACTCAGTTCATAAGTATCTGAGACAAGATTCAGACTGCTCAGGTCTTCCTCACTCCAGTCTCTAGGCTCTATCCTCTATACCACCTTGCTACCTTGGGAGTTTATGTCGTTTTTTTTTGGCAGAGCTCTTATGTTTGAGGTAGGGAGAAAAGCTTAAGAAGTATCTACTCCTTTTCTGCCTCTCTGGTAGTTCTTTTGTAGAACATGACTTAGATGGTCATGGATGGGCACTAGAGTATATATCCCATGAACCAACTAGCATTTGTTAAGCACCTACTGTGTGCCAGGCACTGTGGGAGGTGCTGAGATTACAAAGACAAAAAATAAAGCAGTCCCTTCCCGCAGGAAGCTCTGTTGGAGAAAACAGTCACAAAATGGATATGAAGTCAAAACTGGGTAATTGCTCATGGGCAAAGAAGTGACTTGTTCAGGTCCACCTGTGCTTTAACAATATTCCCTTCAGCAGCCATGTGAGAGTTAGGGCAGCTAGACACTGAGGAAGCATCTGTCTAAGCAAGAAGGGATGAAGGCTTGAATTGGGTCTTGACCATGTTAGTGGAGACGAAAAGGGAATGTATAGGAGGCACATAGACACAGATTAGAGAGAGAGAGAGAGAGAGAAAAGGAAAATGAGGGAGAGTGAGGGAGAGAGTATTGGTGAACTTTGGTGTCTGAAATGATGGCAGTGCCCTGTATAGAAATGAGAATATTGACTTTATAGAACTCTATATGTGACCATAGCAACCAAAAAGCATGATTACATTGGGCTGTCTTCCAGAATATATAATTCTTACAGATAATCCTTCATCATGTTGATGCTCATCAAAATGGACTTTTTATCTGTATTCCAAGGGTAATAACCATATTCTTTTATTCTATACATAACTTCTATCTAGGGAATACATTTTCTCTATAGACCTGTAAGGACGCTCCTTTTTACTACTGTATTACGGGTACACCTAGTATGAAGCTATTCTGTTTGAAATCATCTCGATTACAAAGCTCGTAGTGGTTGTAGTTAAATGCACAAGGAATAAGGGAGTACACGTAAATCTTTACTGAAATGGACACCCTTCTTACAGTGTTTTGTCTAAACTGAACAAAATAGGATTTGGCATGTAGATCACATCCCCATTTCAGGTTAACTTTATAAATTATTCTCTTTAGTTTAAAAGGTCAGAAATGATGTCATAAAGAGGTCACGGTTACGTCTATATTTAGACTCCTATGGGAGAAAAATTGAAACAAAGCAACTGTTTGTTGACATACTTCTTGTGGGAAATACTTTTTTTTTTTCCATTGAGGAAGGGCCACAATGCCAGGGCAATGTTGGGTGAACCATGGTCTTAGAGTCAGAAGACCAGGAACAGGGTTCTGGCTGCAATACTTACTAGTTAAGTCACAATGTCTCTGAGGCTTAGTTCCGGTAATCAATAAAACTGCATCACCTACTTCATAAGAAAGTGCTTTATGCACTCTTAAGCACTGTCTCAGTGTGAATGGTGGTTATTATAAAGCTCCTAGAAGGGCCTAGGCCATCTTTAGCCACTATTCTGTCTTAAATGTAGAAAGGGGAAATAGACTGGGCTCTGGACCATGGAAGAATGGCATTTCAAGGATTTATGGGACATTTTTCCTTCCTAGATATGAGGACATTGTCTTTAAAAAATAGAATCAGGTTCATTGTGCATGAGAAGATCATTCTTTTGTGTATTGTACAAATAGCCCAATAATTTTGATCATAGCTTATATTTGATGAGTCTGATACAGAATGGAAATCATAGGTAATTACTAAATGTTACACTGCCCTCTGTCAATAGTATTTCCTGGAAGTTCAGATATGCCACTATGATGTTTGCCATCATTTTATAAGTGAGGATTTCCTGGCCATTATTCATGATGTTATTTACTTTCTCTTGCCTTAATGGTCCAAACAATTAGGCCTCAATAACTGAGAGAGATAAATTAGCATGCTTTTCCACTTGTTTTTATCTTTAGAAAAATAAAAACATAACTATTACATGTATTTAAAGGAAAGTATATGGAGTATATGATTTAGAGCAAAATTTTAGCAACTACAAATACCTAGGTAAAGATCATAGATCTTAAATATGGAAAGACCCTCAAAAGATGATGATAACAGATCATGTGTACAGCAGTTTCATAGCATGCTAAGAGTTGAAAGGAACCTCAGAAACCATCATCCAGCTTATAAAAAGACAAGATTTCCATGGTCATCCAGTCATTGCTTGAAGACCTCTGATGATGGTAAATTCACTACCACCCAAGGCACCTTGTTCCATTTTTTGGATAGCTCTAATTACAAAGAACTTTTTCCTTCATCAAGTCTAAATTTGTTCCTAGTTCTGTCCTCGAATACAAAGCAAAACATACCTTAACTCCTCTTTCCCATGACAGCTTTTCAAATCCTTGAGAATGGAAACTATTCATATAGGTTTTTTGTACAAGGTAAACAGCCTCATCTTCTTCTTTGGACCCTCATGGTACGCATTTTCTTGAGACCTTCAACCATCCTGGTTGCCCTCCTCTAGACACTTTCTAAAACATAACACTCAAAATTGAACATAATACTCCAGATGTAATCTGACCAGAGTAGAGTATATAGCAAGACTTATCACTTTCCCAGTCATGAACACTAAACCTCTGTTAATACAGCCTAATATTGCTTTAGCTTTTTTTTCTATCACCATGACACATTTCATATTAAGCTTGAAGTCCACCAAAATCCTAAATCTTTTCATAGGAATTATTTTTCAGACATATATCCCCTATCAAGTACAGTTGTATTTTTAACCCAAGTATAAAGCTAAATAGTTTAATGTCCCTATTAAATTTCATTTTACTAGATTATTCTAGCTTATTAAGACCTTTTTTTTTTATTCTGGTTATAGCTTAGCTGTCCTCCCGAATTAATGCCATATGTAAATCTGACAGACATGCCATGTATACCTTGATCCCAATTATTTGGTTTAAAAAAAATAAAAGTATAGCAACAAAGTTGGTCACCAGTAGAGATATCTCCAATTTGACATCAAGTTGACAGATAATGACTATATCAGTAGGTCTTATTCAGCCTCTTTCTGATAGTCCAATATTGTTTAGTTGCCTCTATCCCAAACATGTGAAGACTTCCCTAGGCAGAATGGTTGGATAAGAACAATTTGTTTCAATGGCCACAGAAACCTCTGAAGCAGGCTGTGGAACTCTTAGAGCTTGGTCAGACATCAAAGATGCCAAGACTATCCACTGCATCCTAGGCCATGTCCAGTTGTCCTGAGTTTTGTCTTGCCCCTGGACTTCAATGATTCTGGGAGAGTGAGGCTGATGACCTTGTGAAACTCTGCCTCACTTAAATCCAGTTCATATTTGAGTCAAGACATTACCCCATGATGTCATTAGTCCTGTTCAAAATGAAGGACGAACAAGAGTTGGCTTCTATCCACTTAGTCCACGAATATTTTGGAAATCCAGACATATTATGGTGTTTATCTGATCTACCAATGGTGACCCTGACAAAAAATGGAAGTGAACCATGACCTTTTTTGATTAGCTTATACTGACTCTTAGTAATCATATTTTAAATGTTCACAAACCATCCCTTCAATTATATGCACAAGAGTTTTGCCAGGAACTGGCAATTGATTTCTTTGGGAGTGAAGACAGAAAGCCCTAGTGATCAAAACCATTTATAAAGCACTGTGTGCCTTGTGCTGCATGTAAATGACAAAAATGATTCCCTGCACTTCCTCCATTGGGAGAAATAAGAAAATACACAATAAAGTAAAATTTTCAGGGAATATGAGGAAGGGAGGTGTGCTAGCTGCTGGAAGATCAGCAAAACAATGTAGAAGCTGTTGCCTCAGTCAAGTTTTTCAGAATATAAAGGATTCTAATAGATGAGAGGAGAATGTATTCCCATCATGTGAGAAAACCAGTGCTAAAGAATGGACACTAGAGATGAAACATTATGTGTGAAGAACAGCAAGAAAGCCAGTATGATTGGACTATATAGCATGCAGGAAGGAAAATATAAGAAAGTTAGGCGACTAGGTCAAGCAGGGATAGGGTGCCAGGCCTGGAGTCATAAAGACATCTTGGTGAATTCAGATCTGGCCTCAGAGACTAGCTGGGTGTCCCTAGGCAAGTCACAACCCTGTTTGCCTTAGTTTCCTCATCTGTAAAATAGGCTGGAAGAGGAAATAGTAGACCATTCCAAGTTACTCCAGTTGGACACGACTGATACAACTGAACAACCAAAGTTGGAAAAGGTAGGTTGGGACCAGGTTATGAAAGGATATCTGGAATAGGGAACTTCCCGTTATTGCTTCTGCCATCTTCAATGAAAAAAATGCCCTTCAGACCCACACATTTTTTTCTCCTTTGTTGTTTAGTAATAGGTATGCTACAGGAATTGCCTCCATAATTGAAGTTCCCCATCATTCTCATAGTCTACCTCTGAGCCAGGTTTGTGAGCTGATTCTACATCCTACCAGTTTGGTCTGTGGCATGTTCCCACAATAACATTGCTTCTGTTTCTCCTTCCATTGATTATCAGATGTTTTCTGCAGCTTTGCTTTCCCCATGACCCTCTAGTCTGCGGATTCATACATATGAATGTATTTAATATGCAATGCACCTCTCCTTGACTTCCATCTCATGGGTGGTGAACTTCTTTTGGTTGTCAAAATCTGAGTTCATCTGACACTGGCAACTATCCTGCAACACCCAGACTGTGCCTCCCCTTCCATCACCACCACACTGCTCAAGTTCAGCTCTAAATAAGATTAAGGTGTTATTGAGTTGCCCTAGTGAAGTTGGTGCCATAT